TTTTCCTCAAACATATGTAATCAAAAGAATTTATTTTTTCTTCTTGTTGTTTGGTTAGCTGCCACGTTTCACTACTATATATGAGCACTGCTATTACATTTGCTCTGTACAGTTGCATCTTTGTTTTCAATGGAATACTTTTATTTTGCCATACTTTGTTTAGTGCTGTCAGTGCATATGCTGCTTTAGCTATTCTATTGTTTATCTCTATCATGATGTCACCGCTTTGAGATATTTTGCTGCCCAAATACATAAACTCCTGCGCTTTTGCCAATTTATTGTTATTAACCATAATCTCTACATCATCTCCAAACTTGTTTTCATTTACCACCATAATATTTGTTTTCCTTGCATTTATTTTTAGCCCTATTGATTTACTATGAGTATCTATACGATCTGTTTTTTCTTGCATTTTCTGTGTATTATCAGCTATAAGTACGATATCGTCTGCAAAATCCAAATCTTCTATTTCCTGTTTATAATTCAATTTAATTCCTAACTTTTGATCTTTCAGAGCTTTTTGAAGTACCCAATCAATCGCAATAATAAACAGTAAAGGTGAAAGAATACATTCTTGTCTAACTCCCGTCTTGATCTTAAACCATGCAGTATTCTCTTCTTCATTTACCTTCACACACGACTCAGCATCTTCATATAAGCTTTTGATGATTTCTACGATTTTTGTTGGTATACCGTAAGACTTTAGAATTTCCCATAATGATTCCTGATGTACTGAATCAAATGCTTTTTCAAAGTCAATAAAATTCAAAATAATACCATATCTTTTGTTTATTGATTTTTCTATAATTCGTCTTAGGGTGAAAATTTGATCGCTACACCCTCTATTTGGTCTAAAGCCGGCTTGTTCTTCACGTAAAACTTTCTCTATTGCTGGTCTTATCCTATCTGCTAATATTGCACAAAGCACTTTCCCAGGTATCGACAGTAGCGTTATATCTCTCCAATTATTTGGATCACGTAAATCACCTTTCTTTGGTAACTTTATAATAATACCTGATATTTATATATTTTCTTTTGTTAGTTTGTTTGTGTTTGGTTTGGGTCATTATTAATCTAGGTCGCTGACCTTTAATGACTGCGAAGAATTGAATTATCTACTTTTTGTACTATGTTTTACCCGGTTTTTTCTTCGAGAACATAATGCGAAAAGATGAAATATGTAACTCATAATGAGTATGCACAATCAGCGGTGACTATAAGATCAAAACATCAAGTCAAACTAAAGAATTTCACACAGACGTAACATGAATTCCAGAAAATGTTTTGCAAGACCTTCTAACAAGACAACTATGCAAGCGCGGAAACAAGTAATTAGGGCTATTTAGCGCCAATTTCGCATTAAGCATGCGGGCTCAAGCCTGTTTCTCTTGCATTTGGCGGAAAACTTTTTAGGTAAAAAGCAGCTCTCTCTGTGAATAGTATTTCTTAGTTTATACAAACAGTTTATAACCGCTCTTTTGGCTTTCTCAAAATAGAATTACTGCAGCCAAATAAGTAATTTACTGTGTTAGTGTACGGTAATTCTAATGAGAGAGCCAAGAGACAAATCCTTTCAACTTTTTATTGTCAAAATTTGAAACCTTTCTTTTAACCATTTGAGGTATCAAACGGTGTCTCAAAGTGCGTTAGAATCTGAGTACTTTTTTATTTATAAAAAAAAATATAAAAAAAAATTTTCACCAGAATATTATCTGGTGAATATAGCCAGACTGACTAAGAGGAGAGTTTAAAGCACCAAACCTCTCAATTTAAAATTTACTATGACGATTTTGTTCAACAAAGCCTCAAACATATACTATATGATTTTATCTCTATAAAAGTCTTGCCATCTTACAGACAAACCAGAAACAACATAGACTCACAACTTAATATATTTCAGCTTCGATCGTAGAGCTTCAGTCTTGTATAGGATAACTACATTACTACTTTCTACAAGAACTTTATAAAATTTCTATATTTGGAGATGATAAGATTCGTATAAGAACTTATCAGCATCTTATAAACTTCCTATTGTACACCGTAAGATCGGTTGACCTACGACTGAAAACCATGAAGGAGGAAAATAACAAGTTTTGGTCACACCAGTAGTTCTCGATGTTCTACGTGTGCGATTCGATTATCAGAAAAAGTGTTCGAAACTTTGACGAACGGTTCACAGTTACATGAAGTCGTAACATGTGCTTTGGTAAATCACCTCGACTTGCTCTTTAAAATAAAGTGCATACAACTCCTAACGTCCTCGGCTATGAAGAAAAAAAAACCAAAAGTACGGCAGATAAAGCTGAGTACAAAAGTTTACAAGAAACCATCTTTCATATGACTTTCTCAAGAGA